ACTTGAATATTGTACGATTGAGCTTCTTCTGTTGATTGTCCTCTGTGGTCTTCTGTGACAGATCAGCTTCTGTCAATACTTGCTGTTTTACTTTTTCTATACTTTTACATTCAAGGAATGAGAGCTACCACAGAGATAATGTTCTTAAACATGAAAATCAAGTAAAACAAAATTATGTAATGCAAATAAGTTTAATATCATATCCAAGACAAATAATAATGAAAACGTATACGATAATATAATCACCAATTCAAAAATCATTGTCCAAACCAAAATTCAACCACAAACACAATACCAAATACGAGTTTGAATGTAATTATTCATCAAAAGCAAGAATATTACTTTTCAACCTTAGGGATTTTTAATGTTTTTTTAGTCGATTCTTTTTCTTCCTGATCGGCATCAGACCAACTTTCAAAATCACACTTCCTATCAATTCCTTTCCCAAGCCTTCTGTCATACAACTTCACTTGTGATTCCGGACTGTCTGCAGTGCTCTTATCCACATCGGAGGGTGTTGCATTCTCACCAGTAAATGATACAACATCCTTAAATAAGACAATAATCAGTTATGACATTTGAAGAATTAGTTGCTTCTATGATTCCCAAATATCATACACAATCAGATTAATCTTCAAGAACACAATTAGATGAGTAGAGAGAGATTTTCACCAAAGTTGAAATGATATTTCTTGAGAGAATTTACAAAGTGATTAGTATTAACTAGTTACAATTAACTACATAAAAACTATTTATACTAGGAAATTAAAAAAGCTAACTATTACAAAGCAATTATAAAATGGGAGAACTTGAATACAACAAATAAGCACAATCTTGAACCCAACAGCTACCATTTAATTTTACAAACTACATTAAAGGTGACATTTATAATACCCTTAACTTCTCTTCAGAACTGAAATCTGTTGAATGCAGATTTACTGATTCTGATTTAGCAGGCTGCAAAGTAAATTGTAGAATAATGTCAGACTAAATTGGATGATATTTTCTACAAATGATAATCAGCACCTGTTGAGAAGCGTATCTCATCTCCAATTCATTCAAGATGGCATCATCATCTGTTAGCTTTGAAATACCATTAATGAAACATCTGTTTTTAATATTGTAATCAGTTATGTCAATCTTTATTGCAAATTTTCGATCGAGCAAAACATCCAGAAACATATCTAAATCACGACTCTGAAAAAAAACAAACAGCTTTTACGTTAACAGGAATTTGGAATCCATCAAAAAAAACTTATGAAAAAAGATAAGACTTCTAATCATACCTCTTTAACTTTTTCATACAACACTATTGCAGATTGATTCAAAAGTTTATTATATTTTCGATCAAAAAATGTCAATGATTCAATTCCAGTATCATCTTGAACTCTCAAAGAAATTCTGAACCTATATGATTATTAAGTGAACATTAAGTAAGTGTGCATAAGTTAATGAAAAGTACTGTTATGTAATTGTTACTTACTTTTGCAAAACCTCAGTCTTTTTATCTCTGCATCTATCAGTCGTACATTCAAAACTTTCACTCTCTTCTTTCATACCCGATCTATCATCCTTGTCAATTATAGTGTACATGGGTCGAACCTTGCGGTTACACCTCTTGCAACCCATGTAAAACCAAGGAACATCCTTCCTAAATGCTTTCACTGTTCCTAATATAATTAGTGATTTTGCCTGTTTAAAGTACGATATGTTATGATAAAATGAAATTACTGAATGTATAGAAACAATTTAAAAAAATAAGTACCTCAACAGTTTCACTAATTTCAACAATGTTTGCTCTACTGGTTCTGTCTAGAAAATCTTCATGATATGAATAAGACAATCCAGAGAGCATTGAAATCTGTTGTGACGATTTAGATTCGCCACTCTCCCGAATCAAACTATTGAATCAGGAGTATAAGTAAACAATAATGTATATTAAAAAAATATAAGATACATAACAGAAATAAATAAATAAAAATTTCCTGACCTTTTCATAAAATCCTTGATTTCATCAATATTCGAATTGATGAACAATCTCGTACCATTAAATGAGTTAGAAAGAAATGGTTTTTCTGAAACAAAAAAATGAAGCAAGTTAACACAACATTCTTTGAAAGAAATATATATGTTATGAGTCAGACAAACCTCTGTAAATTTTCACCATTGCAAACTGAATTACAAGAATAACAATCCCGTTGTCCTTGTTAGTAGAAACATAATCATTAAATTCCTGAGCAAATGCATCCCACAATGTCACTTGGATTTTAATCCCCCTAAATAAATTGTAAGAAAAAAATTATATAGTTTCTAAAGATTACTATTAGTAAATTAAAGTAAAAATACTTACTCCAAATCCTGCATCTCAACCTGCATCCTTCTTTTGGCTTTTCCATTGTTATCTGGAAGAGTCACCATTGTCTCACAACCAATAACCTCACCAATTACATCTATGTAATCATCAAAAAGTTAACATAACCACGTTTAACTTCAATCACAGTACAATATATAATTTATTTAAACAATACAATAAATCTAAATGGATTTAATTCACTCACCAACTTCTGTATGTTCTGGAATACTTTTCGATATAAGAATTGCAAATTTGACAAATGAGAAACCAAAACTGGAACCCCTAAAATCCTGGCAACTTGTCACAGAAGTTTTGTAATACAAACTTAACTTGTTTGTATTATCAATTAACTTGTACTTCAATGCATGTCGAGCAAATGTAGGATTCTTAATGAAAATTGCAGTCCCTTCCTGAAATAAATTCCTGAACTTAGGAACCCATTTTGGTAGGACATTTGCTTGTATTTTAGTGCCCTAAAAACATAAAAATGAAAAAGGAATGAGTAGTGATGATGTGAAGATCTTAAATAACTTAGATAATAATAAAATATGATGACTGTAATACTAAAGCTTGAAAAAGAAATAAGAATTTACCTGTTCATCCATTAATATCATTTCGACGGAATATATTTCATCCGGGTTTTTAAACAGCGGTTGATTCCACAGTCTAGTGATTCGGACCTTCACAGTGAAGTTATCCTTCTGTATGTCAAGATCTTGGATGAATGTTATATTCTTCATAGCCATTAATCTGTTGAAGGAAAAACATGTATCAATTAATCAAAATTTTGAAGTAGGTTAATCAAACGAAGGTATCATACCTCACAGCAGGTAAGCAATTCATTTTGATTGTTGTGGTTTGAAGTTGAGAAATGTTGCCAATTTGAGTAGTGGGAAGTACGGAAATTGAATCACAATTTAAACCCACGTCCCATGATGAAAAATTTTCAATTTTATGGGGATTACAACCGACGATGACTGAAGTTTTGAGTTTATCAATTTATGAAAATTCTGAAGTTGTGTAGTCTATCCACGTCCAAGTATGAACGTGGTGTCCCAAATTTACGGCCGCAGTTATAAATTCAGATGTGACGAAGTAACTCTGTACATTCCAGACCCGAACATTTTAATACGGAGTTTAACAACTTTATTGACTTTCCTAAGGGCTAATTTTCAAAGATTGACTCTCACATGAAGAAGGATAGTTTATAAGATCTATACAGATATGGAAGTTTGGCCTGAGGAAAAAGTTTTCTACTGACCCAGACTTCATAATACGAAGTGGAAGTTTGGAACATCTTTACAGACCTTCAAGTCTGTAGGCTGAGGAAGTCCTTCCTGCGCCGTCCATGGCAAATACAGATGTTCAAGTCTGAAGTGGTGTCCCAGATTTAGGACTGTGGTTATAAGTTCAGAGGCGAGGATGTTACTCTGTACATTGCAGACCTGACCATTTTGATACGGAGTTTAACAATTTCAATGGCTTTCCTAAGGGCTAATTTTCAAATATTGACTCTCACATGACGAAGGATAATTTATAAGGTCTATACAGATATGGAAGTCTCGCCTGTGGGAAAAAATTTCGTCCAACCCAGACTTCGTAATTCAGAGGAGTTAAGTCTGAAGGTACCCGGGCCAGAGTTCTAGTACAAAATACATTCAGACCTACAAGTCTGGAGTAAAATTCAGAGTTATACAACAAACTCTGGATCGTCAATACTTTTAACACATTTCTTCGCCTAAAATGCACCTAAAACGGTTTTCAGCCACGTGTTCGTATATGATACGACCAACTATTAACCTACATCCTAATGGTAATTAAACATTTTTATAAAATACGACGGTTTTTAATTAGCACACTGAATGAGTCCAATAAGTACTCTACACTTCCACGTGTCACTCTATAAACAAACCTTTCGAGCTATTTGTTAAAATTTAAAACCATATATACTCCATATATGTGAATCGTCATCACTCCCGCCATCATTTTTCTCATACGAACTTACCTCTTGCAATGACAGAACACCAAAGAAATCCATCAATGGCTAACTCACAGTCGAACGTCCAGAAAACAATCCACACCACCAAAACCTGCTTTGAACCCTCGTCGTCTTCTGATTCTGACAATGAGGTCAACCAGGGTACTTCTATCCTGATTGGAAACATTGAAGTTGCTCTCCATGAGCATGTCTCCCTTCCTTTAGGAAACCAATCTCCATCAGCGAACACTGGATTCAATCATCCGGCTCCGATTCTGGTGCCAAATGACGAACAGGTCACTGAAAAGCCTAAAGAACACAACCCTGAACTCGTTGAATCTCAAGGGGAAGTGGGAGATGCTCATGAAAGCCAACCAGCACCGACTGGTGCTATGTCTGTAGCTATTGGAGAACCTGATGTAAGTCATACTATTTTACCAGAATCTGATTATGATCTCATTAAGGAAAACAATAGTGCTCTAAACCTGAACTCTGAAAAATTCAAACACGAGCACCAAATTGTCATTGAAACGCTTAAAATACATCCACTAAAAAGAATGTTCACTAGAAGGTACGAAGTTCCTGTTCAATATCTTCAACAGTGGTGGAAGAATCTAACATATGATGAGGAACAAAATGAGATTACTTCAATTGTAGGTGGGTATGGTTTTTTCTTATCCCTGGAACTGATAAGAAAGATGCTCTTCCTTCCAAATAACAATAAAGTGTTGGGGAAATCAGATTTTGATGCCCTACCATCTTAGGAGAAGATGATTAAAGACTTGATCTTATTTGGATACAAAGATCCCTTGCCAACACTAAGCAGTTTTAGGAGGAAAGGTTTACCACCTGTTTGGTACTGCTTGTTCTCCTGTATCAATCGATGTTTATCGCCCAAAGCTTCAAGCCTGGATCAAGCTTCAAGCCTGGATCAAGCATCAAGGCCAACATTGACAATCTTCCATGGTATAGCTTTCAACATGCATTATGATTATGCATCACTATTCATGGAAGAAATTAAAGCATACATTGCACAGCCACCTGGGTACATTCCATTTCAAAGATTCTTCCAACTATGCATGAAGGGGCAATGCACTTACGACTGAACATTCCAGTAAGAGAGGAGGAGGAAATGGCCCCACAATTCTACATGTATTCATTGAGGTTATCTACTCCTCTTTCTAATTTCAGAAATCATATGCCACTCCCCTTGGAGTTGAGAGCATATATTAGGAATGACAATAGGGTACTTAAAGAATATTGTGCTTCTATGGGACTGCCAGAATCGGCAAACCCTACCCAAGAAGCAGTTCCACCTAGGACGAGTGGTGAAGAGTCAAAAGAAAATAGTGTTGGGGAAGAGAAATAGAGGGTTATGTCTCCTAAAAGTGTAGAGAGGGAAAATGTGAATGAGAGACAGGGTAGAAGAGATAAAAAAAAGAGGATTTAGAGAGATCAGGGTCAAAAAAAGAAGAGGACCTTGCCCCATCCACAAAAAGACGGGCACCCACATCTTCTATCTCTCCACATTCTTTGGTTGAAGGTATTAAAAAAGGCACTGAGCCCATGCCGACTCTCATATCAACCCTACCAACCCAGTCATCACCTTCTCAAAATAGTGATGTTTCATTAAACATTTTGAGACAACCAACACATAAGAGGAAGCTAATGTTGAAATTGAGGAACACATGTCTCAACATCGTCATTCTTTTGATCACATTGAGTCGGGAAGTGTAAAACCCAAAAAAATTCGAGCAATAAATAATTTACCTCTATTATTATTTTCATTCTTATTATTATTATAACACACACACACGTATTTATGTATATATATATATACACATATATGTTAAATAAATAAATAAAGAAAAAAAATTTAAAAGAAGTTTCAAAATCGGACTAAAGGTGAAAGAAAAAGTCAAGACATGGGTAAAAATTGTAAATTTGTGATAGTTAAGGGGGTGTGTCAGGTGATAACAGGTCCAAACCAGAAGGACCTGTTATGTAATTATGCCATTTTTTGATTTCTTGAAAGTGATGGAACGATGCAACCTTTGAGGCTTCTTATTGGCTCTTTCAGTCAACCAATAAGCCAAACAAAAAAAATCAGAGATATGTAGACAACGTTCTCCTCTACAGTTTTCATTCAAACCTTTTGAAATTTCGTTGAGAATCGGGAGAGAAATCGGAGCTCGAAAATTTCCATCCGAAATCTTCGTTTTTCGTCGATTAGAGGTAAAATACTCAACTAAAATTCATGTTCTTTATATGGTTAGYTTCGTTTTTTAGTCCTCTATAGAACCGTAGTAGCCTCACGTTCCAGATTTGGTGTTTTATGGTTTGATTTTGAAGTTTAAAGTTTCGTTCGGTTTAGTTTAAAACTAAAACTTTAAATGAGTAAATGGAACTCATTTCTTAATGAAAATTCGTGTTCTTTATGTCAAAGTGTTGGTAAAAATATTACCAAGAGTTTGGTGTAAAAAGAATGAGGAAAAAACGTCAAGAATCGAGCTATTTTCGATGATAAAAAACTTCAAAACTGCAGCCATGGCTGCTGTAAAGTTTCTGTTGTGTGGGCCTGGTGACAGGTTGGTCAAGACCCATTAAACTGCGTGGGGCTACTTTAGAAAAAATAGGAGCGCATGCTGAGGGCGGGGCTCGAACCCGCGACCTCAACAACACAACCTCAAAGCGTTAACCAACAAGCTATCTATACATTTTGTTCTTATTATTCACCGTTGTTGTTAATATATATTATATTTTTAAGTTTCAAAAATTAGCATTTAGTCTCTTGAATTTCCAGAAATAATTTTAT